GAGTTGGGTGAAGTTGGGACTCTTCCCACTGGTGCTGATTGGCCCTTCTTGGGAGACTGCCTCGTTTTGCATTGCCCCTCAGGTTCTCTGCCTGCTGCCCCAGGACCTACAGGTCTTCCCAGAGCTGTCAAAAGGAGGTCAAGTAGAGCTGACATCAAAGGGTTATTACGAAAATTAATGGAAAAGCAGCCCCTTTACACTCAGCATTGTGCCTGGCGTCTAGTGTTTACTCAGTACGCACCAGCTGTTAGGACACTGTCATTATTCCAAGCAGCTCCTGGGGGACCTGGCAGGACCAGCCATGCTGGATGAAGATGGGGACCAATAAGAGACCCACACCCACGGCATCCAGCACTGTCTCTCTCGGGGCTGCCTCTGCCTGGCTTCACTCCCCGTGCATGAGGCTGGTGGGAAGGGGGTGGGATGGGTTCTGGTTAGCGACAAAGGGGCCAGACGCCATCACCTTGCCATAGCTACCGGGACAGAGTTTGAGTCAAGACCCCAGCAAGTGTCCCTCTGGGGCCCTCTGAGTGCCATGTTTCCTTCTCTCTCACAAAGCATCCTGGCTCTGAGCCAGCCAGTGCTGCCCTCCTCGGCCAACACCCTTATACATCTCATGCTTACTACCTGGGAGCCTCACGGGAAAGAATGGGGCTGCCTTGCCAATGCCTTCGCAGGCAAGCGTGGACAGCTTCTGCGATTTCAGCGGTGTCTTATGAAAACAGGTTTTTATAATTTCTTGGCGTGATCAGTTTTCCCTCTGAGAACAAGATGACTTAGCCCTTGGATGGTCTGGAGCTTGAACGAACTATTTGGAGAATTAGAGAAAGATACGAGACAATTGCCACATAGATATTTAGAAAGACCCAGCTTTCCAGAGAGCTTATCCAGGTGTCTCAGATCATTTTTGCTCAGTGAATAGCTTGAAGACCACCTACGACAGTCACCTGGGTACTGATGTTTGAAAATGCAGAATCCCAGGCCCTGCCCAAACCTCCTTAAACTGACCTCTGAGGAGGGGGCATGGGAATCTGCATTTTATTTTTTATTCTATTTATTTTTTATTATTATTAGTTTCAGGTGTACAGAACAATGCAATAGTTATCCTTTTCACCCCTCAAAAGAAACAGGCTCCCTCCCCCATCTATTGCCCTCCCACCCTCGATAGCATACTTATCTATTACAATTCCAGGGAATCTGCATTTTAAACAACCTCCCTTGGTGATTCTTTGGATAGTAAAGTTCAAGATTCAGTGGCCCCCTTCCAGATGCTTTAAACCTTCCAGAAAGGTAGTGGGAGCCCCGAATATATCCAGGACCTCTCTCTTCCCCTTGGCACTCACGGTCTAAAGGATATGAGCGAGTGCAAGGAATTCCTGGCACCTGATACGATAGTCTCATGAGAATCACAGGCAAATTACTTTATGCTGCATTTGGATTAAATTCTAAAACCTGACAGTCTGCAGTCCCTCCGAGGATCACCACAGTCATGAGAAAGCACCATCAACCTGCCCCCAAGTATGCACAAGCACTGCAACCAAGACATGGGGCATAGCCTGCTCTTTCCAGCTTCTCTCAGAAAGCAAGGCACCAGGGAAAACAAAACCAATTTCACAGACATGAGGAGAGAGGTTTATTGCTCGTGGTGACAGAAGACTGAGCTGAGTGCTAGAAGGAATGTACAGTTGGTATGAGATGACTCAAGTCAACTGCCTCTCCTCCCCCAGCTGATTATAAGTCAAAACAGGCAGGCTCTTAGTGAACCATCTTTGGGAGGTCAGCTGACCATGACACACACAAACCCCAAATGCCACGACACTCGTCCGAGTTGACAGTCCATTAGTAAGTCAGTCTCAGGGCTCTGAAATCCCCTCCTTCAAGAAGAAGCATTAAAAAAGCTAGCGTCGTTGCAGAGTGACTGAAAAAGGCATCGTGAGCTGGGTATAAGCCTACAAATTCTGGCCATGTAGGGCTGGGAACTGCGCCCTGTCTGTGGGTTCAGGAATTTGATAGCCTCTACATTCCAGGCTTTATTTTCAAGCTTCTTAAAGTGCTTTCACCTCATCTAGCTGTCCACCAGCGTTTGGGCTTTATCCATCAAAGCTTGCACTAGAATGAAGTCAAGGAGATAAACCCAGGCCCGGTGACATGACAGACGCTGGTCTGGATGTCTCTTAAGTGCTTCACCTGAGAAAACCGTGTGATGCTTAATATATTAAATAACCAAATGAGGTAGATAATTCACCTGGGGATAATGAAGAGGGGCAAATCTTATAGATTGTCTACAGATGACTATAAACCTTCATCTCAAGGTCATTCTGGCCGAGTTGGTAGATGCTAACTCCATGATTCTCTCCTCACTTCTCCTTGGATTTTAATGCCTGTGTCTAAATAATAATGAAAACACCCAATAAACGGACTTATCTAAAGTTTTGTCTGCCTGACGCCAGTACAAGTGGTTTTATTGGGTTTTTAGCAGTCCTAGGGGATTAGTGAAAATTATGAATGCATCTTTCCAAGATATGTGGCATTCTAAGTGACAGATTTTGCTTCTTAGCTAAAGAAGAGGTAAAGATATCTGGTTGCTTCAGGACTATATGCTGTCTATACAGAGAGCAGGAGGAGGATTTGACATAGTTATTCCTCCAATTGGACTTTGATGAGAACATAGTTCACTGCTTGAACTTGACCATGTACTGACCTCACCCACTGAGTCACTGCGCCTCTTTTGCCAAATTCTGAGAGTATTTGTGCATATTTTCTTGGTCCCATGCTTGTTTCCAATTTCACTGGTACTTTTAGTGCTGGGACAATGCACGGTAGACAGCTGCTTGTCACTAGGAAATTGCCACCAAAATGAATGTCTGCTGTGATTCCAACTTGAGTAGCAACATGTGCTCTGAAAAAGAGGAACTTGTTTCAGTAACACATAGTCATGTCTGGGCAGCGGTGCGCTGGTAGATGTCCAACAACCAGCTCTCAGTGCAGAAAAAACCTGATTTGTAGCATTTGTTGATTTTCTTGCTATAAATATTCCCATCATGGCCGATTTCAAGATACCAACATCACGTTCATCAAGACAGAATTGGGAAGGTTGTGTCCCACTGGCTCCCCCAAGCAGGTATAAGCACACCCCCAACTGCAAACAGAAGGTGTTGAGGCCTCGGAAGCTACATCTGTCCCTGTTCTAGTCTCCATGGAAACCTTGAAACTAGACAAGACTAGACCCAGCTCAGTTATTTGTTTTCTAAATGAAGAGCTAAGGTTGACAAGACATCTTTTCAAATAGACATGCACCACATTTCTCTTTCTTTCAATACTGGGGCCACCTAGCCATGAAACTGACAGGCTATTCCCAGCTGGACCCTGGTGGACCCTGTCCTCCCCGTGACATCTCCAAAGTTAGGATGTGTGGTGCTGTCTCCCCATCCTTTCCATCCTGGAGGAATCACTTAGGGGACTGAGAAATAACTGCTCTTAGCATTCATACATTAATTTGAAATGGTGCACACAGACGGGGTGGTCAGAAAGCATGGTCCATTCACGTTGGTTTTTATTAAATCAAGATGGGAACTGCTAATGGATTGGCATATGTATTATAGTTATGGTTTTCGATAAAAACTTCACTCTCCCATCATTAGCACAGGGCACTTTCTCAGTCACCTCTGACAGCTTCTACTTTCTGTTGCTAGACTTTAAGGAACCAGGGTATTGAGCCACCAGGATAATGGAAGCCTGTGCTTGAAAATCAAGGCTAAAACCCTGCTCAGGTCAGCTCTTGTCCATCCATCTCAAAGGACGTGCCAGACAAGATGTGTGAGACAAAGTAAAATGCTTCCTGCAAATTCAGGTCACAAATTGGGGAAGGGGACCAGCCACCACCTTCCTCCTGCCTCTCCTTGGCTCCAACGCTGATGGCATGTAAATCAGAAGAAGGTGGCTTCAGGGTCAGGCTTTAAAGAACATTATTACGTGTATAACCTGCCTATTTAAACCATTTTCATGCTAAGATTGTCTACACACACAAATGTTAGCTTTGGGCAGGGGAGGGGGCGAGGGATAAAAGTTGAATCCAACATGAACATTTCTAAGACAACTGGTGGGCAACAATCGGGTAGCCACTAGTTGTTAAACATTTTACCCTTGAGCACAGGACCCAAGAGTCCCAGCTGAGTACAATTTAGTGAGTACCAGCTGAATAATATTTGGGTTAAAGCAGCCATCACTACCACGTAGAGAAGAGCAGCCATGCTTGGTGTGGGGCCCAACGGCCACTGCCAACCTCACATTCAGTACAACTTATGTTCCATGGAGACCACCACTTTTCTTCAGCATGGAGCCCAACATCCAGTGGTTAGGAAGCAGGTGGACGCCATGCTTCCCCACCTGCCACCAGTGCTGTGTGTTCTTGACCATGACTGGACTGAGAGTCACCTCTGGGAGCCTCTGGTGAGTCTAGGAGCTCAAAGGAGCTTCTCAGGAAGAAGCGCCAGAGCACATCCCATGGTCATCCTTTGGTGATAAACAGGGACAGTTCAACATCTGTCCTTGAGGACCCAGGAAGCAGCCTTCAGAGCCCCTACCACCCAGGGAACCGGCGTCACGGGGCTTGCCAGGTGGGTAGCGGCTGGCGGTGTCCGCCCAGGAGCCCCAAGCCCTCCCTGCCTTCTCACCGGCTGTCTCATTCCAAACTCTCCAGAGGAGTGGCATCCTTCACTCAGACACTGGCAGGATGTTCTGGCTGTGGGAGTCACCGGTGAGGCCCGACGGGTGGAAGGAACGCCGGTGGAGGATCCTGTTCAGAATCTCTCTGCAGCTTTTGCGGTACTGGTGTCGCAGTAAGGAATACACGAAGGGGTCGGACGCGGCCTTGCTGTAGGCCAGGCACTTGGACAGCACTCCCCAGTGCGAGCCGATGGGCACCGTGGAGGACAGCTCCAGCAGCCTGTGGAGAGATGGGAAGGCCCTTACTGAACACAGCTGGCACCGCCTCGGGGCATCCAGGAACCAGAGCTCCACTCTGAGCCCCTGAGCCCAGCTTTCTGGCTAAGCCTCAGTTCCCTGAGACTGCCTCCTCAAGGAACAATAACAACAGCAAGTTACAACAATAACAACGGTAGGCATTCACCAGGCACTTATTTTATTCTACTTACTGTTCTAACTATGTACGCACTTTACACGTGTGATTGCATGGAACCCTGGGAGATGTCACAGTCTCCGTTTTACATGGCAGGAAATAGATATCCAAGGAGGTTAAGTAATTTGCCCAAGGATGTCAGGGCAGGATTTGAACCCAGGGCTGTCTGACTCTAGGACCCAGGCACATCTAAGAAATGGGCTAATCCTGGCCACTGACCTGCTGTGTGACCCTGGGCGAGTCATTTCCCTTCCTCAGGCTTGCATGTTTCATATAAAAAATGAGGAGTCAAATAAGCTCATCTGCGATTATTGCAAGTAGAACAGACTGATTCTTTGCTTCACATCCTAGCTCTGTCTTTCAGTGGAAGTTGTTTGGGAAGAAAGGCAGCGAATAATTTTACAAACATCCTACAAAGTTCAAAGTATGTCTTATATCAGGAGAGAATCTGCTAGCCAGGAAAGCCTCTTCCCAGGGTTGGGATTCTGGTGGCCCCAAGCAGGGTACCCTACAGTGACCATCATTCTTTGGGGGATGGGGGGCTAGAAAAGATATAACTCATGTGTCAAAGGGGCACAGTTCTGAGGGTCCTCCTGGAACCCATCCATCAACCCCACTCAGCGGCGCTAATGCCAGGCTGTGAGGTAGTAAAGCTTCCCTCTGTGTTAATGGAATTCCCCCCAAATCATGCCACTAATTCTTCTCTCTCAAGTGTGACCAGTACCCTTGGCCGTGTTTGGACATTAGTTAAGGTAGAAAAGGCCACAGAGAGGGGAGAGAGCTTAGAGAACACAAATCACCCTCTTCTCACCCCATGTCAAATAAGGAAATTGAGGCCCAGAAAGGGAAAGGGGTTGCCCAGCATCACACAGCAAGTCAGTGGTAGAGGAAGGTCTGGTATCTGGAATCGGGCACCTGTATTCTACCAGGGGTGGTGGAAGGGGGCGGGGGGAGGGCTGCAAATTGGAAGGCAGCAGTGGCTTTCAGTTTGGTGGGATGTCCAGGTGAGAACCCAGGTACAGAGAGGACTGAGCTTGGGCTGGAACTCTGTACTGGCAAACCTAGGGGTTTTCCTGCAGCCTTGTTGGGCTGAGGTTGTGAGGAGAAGCCCATGCAGAGGAGGAGCAGGAAGCTGTTGGGCTGTGGTCCTCCACTGCAGTGCCCCCTTCTGAATAGATCCTTAATGAATCCATTCTGAGGGCCCTTTGTTTGACTCTTTATTCCCAGCACCGCTGTCTGCCCTTGCCCTCTGACCCCATGAGGGAATGTGGTCACATTTCTGTTCTTGTCCTTAGAAGGACCAATGGGGAAATGGAGCTGTTAGCATTTGGGAAATCTGTACTTTCAAGAAATCTATTTTCGGAAGTGATGAATTTAAGTAGACAAAAATCCTGAATTTAGAATTCACACCTAATAATAACTATGAAATAGCTGAATTCCAACACATTGTTGCTATGTGATGCCAAAATTGCATTTCCAAAATGTCTAGTCTTCCATGTATTGTTAATTCAGTCTTAGCATTTTGGCTCTCCCAAGAGGATTTATTAAAAGAGCCAAATAGCTAACCATCGAGCAAGATCAAAATTATTATTTGCAGGCTCTGCAGATGTCACAGGATAAAATTATTTAGGGCAATTTAAAATTTTGCTGCTTAGATAATTAAGAGGTAAAATCTAATTGCATTTGCTTCTCAGAGATTTTATGTAAAGTCTGAATTCGCCTGGCTCAGAAATGATAGCTCCCTGTTGAGTGTCTCCTTTGGGCCAAATACTTGATGTACATCATCTCTAATCTTACAATTATCCTGCAGAATCAGTATCATTCCCGTTTTGCAGATGAGGAAACCAAGGCTCAGCGAGTTGAGCAGCCCTCTGATCTGAGTCACTGGGAGGTCTCTGTGCCGACTGTCCCTGCAGAGGGCTGATGAGGCCAGGAAGGCCACTCCCTTGCCCCCTCACCCACAGGGACCTCTCGCCCCCACCCAGCAACCTGGCTGTCCTGGTCCCTGAAGGAGAGTTGGGGTGCACTGGCCAGACCTCTGAGGCATCCTCTGAATCCCCAGAGAGGCCAGTGTCTCAATCCTGCTGGACAGTGAGAATCCCAAGGAAACTAAGCTGTGGAGTGAGGGCAGGAGCAGTTGTACCAGAGCCCTCCACCCCTCCTCCACCCCCAGGCACCCAGTGCTTTGATAAATGTTTCACAGACATTGTCTCAAGCCCCCCGATTGTGTCTCCCTACTGCACAGAGGTGGAACCAAGGCAAAATGCAGGCCAAGGCCACAAGGCCTGGATGTGGAAGAATCAGGATTTGAACCCTGGACTGTGGGTACCAAGGACTATGTGTCCTTCTGGGGCCAGGCTGCCCCTCCCAGCTCCATGACTCCATTCCAGTCAAGGACTTTACTCTCAACTCTTGGATTTAATATGGTAAAATGGCACCCTCTCTGTACACCTTCGATGCCTCCATCATCTCTCATCTCTC